TGATAAATTTCATTTTTAAAAGTCCCATGGACCCTTGTTAAGCAGAGTACTGGTACATGTTTAAATTTGGATAGTGTCCATGGCCATTTATCATAAAATCAAGACTCCTGATGCAGACAACTGACTTTGGAATGTGTTCTTAATTAAATACATTTAAATAATTGAATGAATACAAATCATTCTGCCATTATATTTTGATGACAAGATTTCTTGATTTTTATCTTTTGAGTTAAATGAACATAAATTTAATCCTTTAATAAAATGCTTCGCTGGGGCGCAGCTTGATACGACCGCAGAGGTCGAACCCTGAACAGTTGGGGCAAGTATGGACACAACATTCAAGCTTGATACAGCTCAGAATTTGGATTGTTATTAAATATTTGACACAGCATAGGTTTCTGACACAGAAAGAATGTGGTCTAAGAACTTGAATTTTTTTAATTTACCTATTATGGTCCAATGTCCAAAATCAAAATACATGGTTAGATTCAGCATATCAAAGAACCCCATATATTCAATTTTTGTTAAAATCAAACAAAGTTTAATTTTGGACCCCAACTTGGACAAACTTGAAAACTGGGCCCATAATCAAAAATCTAAACACATGTTTAGATTCAGCATATCAAAGAACCCCAAGAATTCAATTTTTGCTAAAATCAAACTAAGTTTAATTTTGGACCCTTTGGACCTTAATGTAGACCAATTTAAAAAACGGGACTTAAAATTAAAAATCTAAATATATGGTTAGATTTGGAATATCAAAGAACCCCAATAATTCAATTTTTGATGAAATCAAACAAAGTTTAATTTTGGACCCTTTTGACCTCAATATGAACCAATTTGATAGCGGGGCCCACAAATAAAAAATCTAAATTCATGGTTAGATTCAGCATATCAAAGAACCCCAAGAATTCAATTTTTGTTAAAATCAAACTAAGTTTAATTTTGGACCCTTTGGACCTCAATGAAGACCAATTTAAAAAACGGGACCCAAATTAACAAGAGTGCACACGCTGAAATGTCTCGCCTTCTTTACTAATCATTGATATTATGTTGATAGTCCTAAATATAAAGCTTTATTACAACTGTCACATAAACTTAACATTAACCAAGTAAACTAAACATTGACCAATGAACCATGAAAATGAGGTCAAGGTCAGATGAACCATGCTAGGCAGGCATGTACAGCTAACAATTCTTCCATACAACAAATATAGTTGACCTATTGCTTATAGTTTAAGAAAAACACACCAAAACACAAAAACTTAACACTGAGCAATGAACCTTGAAAATGAGGTCAAGGTCAAATAAAACCTGCGTGACTGCCAAATAGATCATAAAATATTTCCATACACCAAATATAGTTGAACTATTGCATATAGTATAAGAAAAACAGACCAAAACACAAAAACTTAACTATAACCACTGAACCATGAAAATGAGGTCAAGGTCAGATGACACCTGCCAGTTGGACATGTACACCTTACAGTCCTTCCATACACCAAATATACTAGACCTATTGCTTATAGTATCTGAGATATGGACTTGACCACCAAAACTTAACCTTGTTCATTGATCCATGAAATGAGGTCAAGGTCAAGTGAAAACTGTCTGACGGGCATGAGGACCTTGCAAGGTACGCACATACCAGATATAGTTGAACTCTTGCACATAGTATTAGAAAAAAAGACCAAAACTCAAAAACTTAACTTTGACCACTGAACCATGAAAATAAGGTCAAGGTCAGATGACACCTGCCCGCTAGACATGTACACCTTACAATCATTCCATACACCAAATATAGTAGACCTATGGCATACAGTATAAGAAAAACAGACCAAAACACAAAAACTTAACTATAACCACTGAACCATGAAAATGAGGTCAAGGTCAGATGACACCTGCCAGTTGGACATGTACACCTTACAGTCCTTCCATACACCGAATATACTAGACCTATTGCTTATAGTATCTGAGATATGGACTTGACCACCAAAACTTAACCTTGTTCATTGATCCATGAAATGAGGTCGAGGTCAAGTGAAAACTGTCTGACGGGCATGAGGACCTTGCAAGGTACGCACATACCAAATATAGTTGAACTATTGCACTTAGTATTAGAAAAAAAGACCAAAACTCAAAAACTTAACTTTGACCACTGAACCATGAAAATGAGGTCAAGGTCAAATGACACCTGCCCGCTAGACATGTACACCTTACAATCATTCCATACACCAAATATAGTAGACCTATGGCATACAGTATAAGAAAAACAGACCAAAACACAAAAACTTAACTATAACCACTGAACCATGAAAATGAGGTCAAGGTCAGATGACACCTGCCAGTTGGACATGTACACCTTACAGTCCTTCCATACACCGAATATACTAGACCTATTGCTTATAGTATCTGAGATATGGACTTGACCACCAAAACTTAACCTTGTTCACTGATCCATGAAATGAGGTCGAGGTCAAGTGAAAACTGTCTGACGGGCATGAGGACCTTGCAAGGTACGCACATACCAAATATAGTTATCTTATTACTTATAATAAGAGAGAATCTAACATTACAAAAAATCTGAACTTTTTTTTCAAGTAGTCACTGAACCATGAAAATGAGGTCAAGGACATTGGACATGTGACTGACGGAAACTTCGTAACATGAGGCATCCATATACAAAGTATGAAGCCTCCAGACCTTCCACCTTCTAAAATATAAAGCTTTTAAGAAGTTAGCTAACGCCGCCGCCGTAGCCGCCGCCGCCGCCGGATCGCTATCCCTATGTCGAGCTTTCTGCGACAAAAGTCGCAGGCTCGACAAAAATCTAAAAACACGGTTAGATTTGGCATATCAAAGAACCCCAATAATTCAATTTTCAATGAAATCAAACAAAGTTTAATTTTGGACCCTTTTGACCTCAATATGAACCAATTTGATAGCGGGGCCTACAAATAAAAAATCTAAATACATGGTTAGATTCAGCATATCAAAGAACCTCATATATTCAATTTTTGTTGAAATCAAACAAAGTTTAATTTTGGACCCCAATTTGGACCAACTTGAAAACTGGGCCCATAATCAAAAATCTATATACATGTTTAGATTCAGCATATCAAAGAACCCCATATATTCAATTTTTGTTGAAATCAAACAAAGTTTAAATACTAGACCCTATCTTGGACAAACTTGAAAACTGGGCCCATAATCAAAAATCTAAACACATGTTTAGATTCAGCAAATCAAAGAACCCCAAGAATTCAATTTTTGTTAAAATCAAACTAAGTTTAATTTGGACCCTTTGGACCTCAATGTAGACCAATTTAAAAAACAGGACCCAAAATAAAAAACCTACTTACACGGTTAGATTTGGAATATCAAAGAACCCCAATAATTCAATTTTAGATGAAATCAAACAAAGTTTAATTTTGGACCCTTTTGACCTCAATATGAACCAATTAGATAACGGGGTCCACAAATAAAAAATCTAAATACATGGTTAGATTCAGCATATCAAAGAACCCCATATATTCAATTTTTGTTGAAATCAAACAAAGTTTAATTTTGGACCCCAATTTGGACCAACTTGAAAACTGGGCCAAAAATCAAAAATCTAAATACATGTTTAGATTCAGCATATCAAAGAACCTCATATATTCAATTTTTGCTAAAATCAAACAAAGTTTAATTTTGGACCATTTGGACATTAATGTAGACCAATTTGAAAACTGGACCCAAAATTAAAAATCTAAATACACTGTTAGATTCGGCATAACAAATAAATAAATGTGATCAAAGATTTTACAAATCTAGTGCGCCATACTGTGCAATTAAAGATTACTTCTTGAAATTTTTCAATATTTGAAATTTGAAAAAAAAATAATATTTGAAGAATAATTCTTTTTAATTTCTGAAATCTGAAATGAGAAAAAATTGGCCCCCCACAATTTCTTTTCATCCCCCCCCCCTTTTTCCCCCAAAAAAATTCTTTCCCTCAAGATATGGTCATAATCTCAATTCAAATTTCCAATGGAGTTGGCAACCATAATTACCCATTTAAATTTACCATAGTGCTAACTTAATCTATTTTATAATAGAATTAATAAAAATATAGTGTCAAATCTTTCATATGGATTTTTTTGTAAAAAAAAAAGATGAAAACATTTGCAGTTATTTTTACTGGTCTTCCTTTATAAATATGCATTTCTTTAAACATAATTTAAAAGCAGTGTAAGGGAAGTAACCAAAACGTTGTATTTGGATTACCTCCCTTACACTGTTTTAGATTATCTTTATTGTTCATTAACCATTACTTTATACATAATTTAAAAGCAGTGTAAGGGAGATAATTTCAATGATGTATTTGATTTATCTCCCTTACACTGCTTTAAATTATGTTTTGTACTAAAGTATTTGTCCATTAACCAGGACAACCTTGTTTTTCCCCCTTTTTTGCCCCTAATTCCTAAACGGTTTGAGCCATAACCCCCCAAAGCAAATCCTAACCATCCCTTTGTGGTATGGAAACTTGTAGTATAATTTCAGAGAGATCCATACACCGTTCCACAGTTATTGTCTGGAAACTAGACAATGCTCATTTTTGGCCCCTTTTTGGCCCCTGATTCCTTAACTGTTGGTACCATAACCCCCAAAATCAATCCCAACCTTCCTTTTGTGGTATTTAACCTTATGGTCAAATTTCAAAAAGATCCATTCACTTAAACTAAAGTTAGAGTGCGAAAACCAATATGTATTCGGACGACGACGCCGGACGACGACGACGCCAACGTCATACCAATATACGACCACAAAATTTTTTTGCGGTCGTATAAAAACTTAACACCCAACAAATCTGTTTCTTATCATGTTAATTTTCATCTGCCTCAATTGGATAGTAGTCTGTTAATAAGCAAAATATGTTTTTTGTAAAAAAAAGAAAAGCAAACAGATTATAAAAGGTAAACATGAGTTAAGTCCTTTAAGGTAGATTGGGGGTCTAAAAGCCATAAATATATATATATATTTTTATCAGCTATAGTTAGAGGAGGGGATAAGGTGTCTGCGCAATGCTAGGCGGTGTTGTCGTAGAAGTTAGAAATAAAAAGTACAGGTTCCAGCCCCTATCCGGGAGGAAGTAAAGAAAAGGATCTACTCTAACATCGTTAGGTTGATTTTCTAGGCACTTTATATATATATATATATGTTCTCTTCTTATCTAGCTACATAACACATGAGGTAAATTCCTTTATATAAGTTAATTATCTGAGTTATCTCCCCTTCTGTATCCAAGTTGATGAAAACATTCTGTATTTGTAAAAACAGTGAAAATAAAATACACACATTTTTCTTCATCTAAAAGTAAGGTCTAACGTAACAAACGAATTGCATATTTCATTAAAGAATTAGACCAATTGCTTCATGCTATTTAGGAGATAACTGTTTTGTATTTTAAGCTCCAACGGCATCAAATCACCAATTGATGCCGTCGGAGCTTCAAATACATTTATTGATATCTCCATTCTAATGAAACTGACAGAAAACAAATCAAATCATACATCTAAAATCTTTCAAACGTCGTCTGTGCTTGCGCGTACGTTTTCATAGCATCAATTGTGAATTGATGCCATGAAAATTGGTGACATTATCCAATCAAAATGAACGTTACAAACGATATTGCATTAGAATTTACAATCTAAGAAATGAGAAGACACCTGATCTACCTTAATAAATATACAATAATTAGCAACAAATTCATGGTATAAAATAGATTTGAATTTTGCATTTTTGCATTTCTGTTAGATGAGTAATTGAATGCAATCTGAAATTCAATTTTTGGGGATTGATACTACTGTAGAAGGTTATTCATAATTCTTCCAAGATTTTAAAATAAATCTAATAGACAACTTTCGAGTTCGTTGCATTTCAGCCAAAAACTTTGGTTTTAGAGAACATCATTTGTGCGTTTAGGGGCGTCATCTCTTCCGTTCCTATGTTGAGCGATTGGTTGAAAAAATGATAATGCTATATTGAACGAATTATTCGGCACTGCTGTCATTAGGGAATTGTGATTAAGTACTTACGGAACAAATATAATTTCTATTTTATCCAGCATAATGACAATCACAAAGACGCTTAATGAACTTTAATCGAGCAGGGATACAGGCGATCCCCTCTATCTGGTAAATGACGTCACAAAGGCGCACAAAACTGACGAATTTTTTCCTGTGAAGGACATTCCTCGAAAGTGGTCTATTGGTTTAGGGAATATGCAAGGAAAACAATTTAATAGGGCACCTACATGATGACCTTCACTGAATTTGAAAAAGATCATTTTTACTGAAACTGCCTTTATAATAAATAGTCATCATAACCACCTGAATTTACAGGAAATTTGTCACCAAATGTTTATTCCAAATCTTAAATTTGATAACCATTCCTTAAAAAAACTAATACAAAATAACAACTTACCAAAAAAGTGGGACCACTAGTTATGTCTAAAACAGGGTCAAAGTTCACATCTAAATAATCAACTAATTAATACAGATTAGTTTAATCCATAAATCTGTTAATCCATGCAGAGATTATCCTATATACAAGGGTCTGGATGGGTGTCCTCCATTTCTGTATTCTTTAATTTTATTTGCCATTTTTCTCTATTCTTTATATTTTGGCACCTCATTACTCTCTCTTCTTTTTTTTTACCCATTTTTCTCTATTCTTTATTATTTTTAGCCATTTTTCTCTATTCTGTAAACCCAATCCACACCCTCATAAAACCCTTTTTGTACCCTAGTAAAATTCCTGAAACAAAAAATGAAATATTACAAAATGGTGATTCTTCAGTCATGGACTTGAGCAGTCAGTTTTCCAAGGGTTAGTGGTCAGTAAAAGTCGGGACTTGAGCAGTCAGTTTTTACTAGGGCCAGTGGTCAGTAAAAGTCAGGATTGTCTTAAGGCTTATGCAATATTTTGTATCGAAGTTTTAAGTTTATAAAATAAGGTTAATTTGTTAAAAAGTTATTGATGTTTCAGAGTTAAGTACAGTTTAATTAAAAACTATGTACAACTGATCAATAATTCGGTACCAACATCCAGTGGCAAGTATTACATATACAATTTCCCTGCTTTACACAAGAAACATGCTGAGAATAAGGCTTATCAGTTTATAAAGGGGTAAGGATTCTGAAACACACATATCGTTTGCTTGACCTTTAAGCTGATCAGTTTATAAAGAGGTAATGATTCTGAAACATACACATCTTTTGCTTGACCTTTAGGCTTATCAGTTTATAAAGGGGTAAGGATTCTGAAACACACACATCTTTTGCTTGACCTTTAGGCTGATCAGTTTATAAAGAGGTTATGATTCTGAAACACACACATCTTTTGCTTGACCATTAGGCTGATCAGTTTATAAAGGGGTAATGATTCTGAAACACACATATCTTTTGCCTGACCTTTAGGCTTATCAGTTTATAAAGAGGTAATGATTCTGAAACACACATATCTTTTGCCTGACCTTTAGGCTTATCAGTTTATAAAGAGGTAATGATTCTGAAACACACATATCTTTTGCCTGACCTTTAGGCTTATCAGTTTATAAAGGGGTAAGGACTCTGAAACACACATATCGTTTGCTTGACCTTTAGGCTTATCAGTTAAGGGGTTCAGTTTATAAAGGGGTAAGGATCCTAAAACACGCATATCTTCTCCTTTTATCAATAAGTAAGTATTCTAAACACATATATCTTTTGCTTGGCCTTTTCAATTCATTTAGGGGTAAGTAGAAGTACACAAGTTTAAAGAACGAAAGCCCGACCTTTAAAGACTTTTTAAAAGGATGAATTATATATCAAATTTCATATTCTTTTACAAATTCTAAATAAATATTCAAATGAATATTTATAACAAAGTTTATACTTTCCAATAACTTTTGCAGTTTTTTTTATTACATATCATTTTCTAAAGAATTTAAACCTCCCGATTGCTATACACATAACATTTAATCCCTTTTTTATCGACCATTGCTTATCAAATTAATTCCACGTTACGATTCTTGTCTTTAAAATACAAGACGAAGACAAACATGCAAAAAGTTGTCTAAACTTGTTTAAATTACAGATTCAATATTTGATAAATGGTCTCTTGAAAATGTTCTGGTCATAGGAAAAAAATCAATTTTGATTATGAATACAAACTACCTTGTATATAAATTATTCAGATTTAAAGTAGAACATGTGTTTGATAAAATGTTGGTGACTTTAACAGACCACTGCCCTGGCGGTATGAAATTTCAAGTGGCGGATCAGGCAGCTTCAGTAGAGGGTGTAAGCCCCCCACCTCCCCCCAATTCATTGGATAATATATCATTTTTAGCAAAAAATTGTCCAAACTTTTTATTTACACACTCACCTTGGCAAAATAAATTCATTTTTACAGAATTAAACCCCTTTCAAAAATCCTGATCCGTTAAAATGAAATAAGACTTAATTGAAATTGTTCTTTCTTTTTATAGAAATTCTTCAGTACTATAACAGTTAAGATAATAAAATTTACTTTTGAAATCTAAAAATAAAATCTATAAACATGGAAATGAACTAGCAGACAAGTGTTTATTAATACATGTTATTATTTTAAACATATATATTAAAAAATAACAAAAACATAATATAAAACTTGTAAAAGTTGTGTCTCCCCTGCTTTTACTGCTGTCAAGTGTTAGTGAAAATTTGATTGTCAAATATTAAGTTTATTTATTAGTAAAATGCAGAGAATCAAAAAAAAAAAAAAATGCTCCGGATCATTTGATATACAAACAAGTTTGATAAAATTCAATGAAGGTTTGAAAAAGTCAATGAGGTCTAAAAAAAAAATTCAAATTTGAACTATTTATAGATATATTAAATGATTGATTTTTTTCTTTCTTAATGTCCAGTAGCAAATATTTCATATATATTCAGAACAATTAAATTAAAAGTTAACAAAATCATTGTTACCTCCTAATCATGTATAACTTTCCTGCTTCTGAGTCCTTGGTTAAATCCGCTCTTTAAACATGGTAAATACTCCCTGTGACTAACTCCGCTCCGTAAATACTCCCCGGGACCTGAAATTTAAACTTATCATTTAATTTCACTTCCTCTGATGTAGAAACTTGTTTAAAGAAAACAAGCTACTGCAAGCAAGGACTGAATCCCGCCTTCTTAGTTACTTCTTAATTGACAAATATGCATTTACAATTGTCAATAACAAAAAAAGGTATGTTGACATAATCCTAAAGACACATATTAAATACTGACAGATTTCTTTAACCTATACAAATCTGGTTACTCAATAGGCATGTTATATTTATTTAAATACACATCACTTTTGAGGGATGTTATATATTGAAATACACATCACTTTTGAGGGATGTTATATATTGAAATACACCTCTCTTTTGAGGGATGTTATATATTGAAATACACCTCTCTTTTGAGGGATGTTATATATTGAAATACACATGACTTTTGAGGGATGTTATATATTGAAATACACATCACTTTTGAGGGATGTTATATATTGAAATACACATCACTTTTGAGGGATGTTATATATTGAAATACACATCTCTTTTGAGGGATGTTATATATTGAAATACACATCTCTTTTGAGGGATGTTATATATTGAAATACACATCTCTTTTGAGGGATGTTATATATTGAAATACACATCACTTTTGAGGGATGTTATATATTGAAATACACATCACTTTTGAGGGATGTTATATATAGAAATACACATCACTTTTGAGGGATGTTATATATTGAAATACACATCTCTTTTGAGGGATGTTATATATTGAAATACACATCACTTTTGAGGGATGTTTTATATATAGAAATACACATCTCTTTGGATCAAACACTTTCAATTAATATCCACAAAATATAAACTTTTGGAGAAAAATAATTTCTTCCATTTCAATCTAATTTCGACTTTAGAAATTAATTATAACTGCTATAATGTTTGCATTATGGCATAAGACACCCATCATGAAAAGATTTCATACAGTTTAAACTTTCATCAATATACAAAGCCATTATATAAGATATGAACATACCATTCATTCTGTATATTTATATAACAACATAGTCATTCTTCTCAATTTTTATAACCTCATTATTAAAGAAATTAAAAAGATTATTTAATATAACACAGGTACATATATATATATATATAGCAAGTTTCATTTGTTTAATAGGCTCCATAGATTTCACCTGGTGTATTTATTATTATTTATGTGGAAGTCATTTCCAAAGTCGTCGGACATTGGGCAAAGTCCAGTAAAAATTGGTTTGGTCCAGTTAAGTGATATGCATTACTGGACCAAATCATATGTGTAAATGTCTGTAAAAAAGAGTCCGGTCCAGTTAAGAAGAAAGGTTTACTGGACCAAATGTCCAGTTGAAATCTCAAAGCCTTGGGAACCACTGAATTTTATGTGCTACCAATTTTCATGGATTTCATTGGTAAAGGTAAACTACACAACAATGGAAATTAAGAAATTTTTATGTAGGGGGGAGGGGTTGGAAGGCAGTTTGTTGCAGCTACCCCCCCCCCCCCCCCCCCCCCCCACACACACACACACATTTTTTTTCTGAAATAGCCCTCATACATCTTGTTTGCACATAAGCATCTTTTTATTTCTAGTATTCAACCTGAGCAGCAGTGTATATAACCTGTGTTAACTCTGTATATAACCTGTGTTAACTCTTTATATAACCTGTGTTAACTCTGTATATATAACTTGTATTAACTCTGTATATAACCTGTGTTAACTCTGTATATACCTGTGTTAACTCTGTATATAACCTGTGTTAACTCTGTATATAACCTGTGTTAACTCTCTATATATAACCTGTGTTAACTCTGTATATAACCTGTTTAAACTTTGTATATATAACCTGTGTTAACTCTGTATATATAACCTGTGTCTACTATGAACACAACCCTCAGTCTGAAAGAGACAGATTAAAAGACCTCTAAACATGTCATGTCACCTGTAAAAATAAACAACTGCCTACTATGAACGTAACCCTTAGTCTGAAAGAGACAGATTAAAAGACCTCTGAACATGTCCTGTCACCTGTAAAAATCAAACAACTGCCTACTATGAACAAAACCCTCAGTAGACAGATTAATAGACCTCTGAACATGTCCTGTCACCTGTAATAAAGAGCTGCGCCATGAGCGCATGATACGACCGTCGCTTTTTCCAAGAAAAATGTTCCATAACTCCTCAATGTCAAATCAGAAATTTATAAAAAAAACTAAAGACTAATAGAATTCTAACAAATCACATCACCTGTGAAAACCATACACCCGTCTACTATGAAAAAAATGTTCAGTCCTTAAGATACGGTTTTCACTGTGTATGTATCATAAAGTATAATAGACCTCTAAACAAGTCCTGTCAAAGTCCAATAAACCCATCACTGAAGACATATTGATTGTTTATAATCATTTTAGGAACATTCAGAATAATCATCAAGATAATATAAAACCAATGAACAAAAACCATCCATGTATAATACACTGTGAAAAATCTGATCCCAAAACTAGGCACATTTATAGAGTACTATTATTTCTTTGTATTCATTCCCGGTCAATTAACCGTGTATTTATATAAAGGAGTTTGTTTTATCAAGTTTAAATGCCAAATTATTAAACTGATGGTTCTATTGAATAATAATACTACCAAATTTATAATAGAATCCGTCCCATACATCTTCTCTTTACTGACGGTAACCCAAGCAGAACAAATTATCGCTTCTTCAATGAACGACAGTACAATATAATACACTGTACCGATATCAGGTCAAAAGAAACCACAAGAATTCTCATTGTATAATACATTTAGTCAAATATAACAAGTCGACTTTGACAGGATTATATCATGTATTCGAGAACAGTACCCCACGAAAGTTTACCATATTTTCATTGGGTAGAAATTCTTGAACTGAGAAATAATTTCTTTGCTCAATTCTGCATAAATGTGAACTCAGCAGTTGCTTATATTTCCAAGCACATTCATCCCTGTTACAGTTATAGACTTTAAGTGCCAGTCTTTGTAAGAATCAGGAAATTTTGAAAAAAATCAAAACATGGCCGAAAAAAACCCACCAACCTAAACATCCTATTTTGAAGTTACCCTCATCTTGAGTTAGAAATGGTAGGTCTTTTGTTTCCTTGTGTCTGGTAATTTGAGAAATTTCTAGATAAATTTTGGTTAGAATGATAGCAAATAATTGAGTTAGCTCCCCTTAATTGTTAATTTATAATGCATTTCAACCAAATTATATCTTGAATTACCAGAACAGGAAAAGGAAACAAAAGTTATATTCGTACACCATTATACATTTTGAACATAAATTAATGTAAAGCTGAGTGGGTTTTTGTTTATCATGTTTTCACCACTGCCTGATCCTTAGGCAGATTGGCACTTAAACTTACAAATTACAATATATTATCAAGACAGACAATTCAAACATCTAAATGCTATTTACAATATACAAAAAACATACATGACAAAAAACTAATAGAAGCAATATTGTGGATTCATCTATTTGCATGGGTAAATGTGCTTTCGTTGATATTAGATTTCGTGGTTTTGCCACAAAGTCTGCATACAAGCCCATGAAAATATGCACGTCATAGAATATCAAAACTTGTGTTTCACCAAAACCCAGGAAATCGACACGGTGAAATTTGGTATCACACTAATGAATCCAAAGTACTAGCAATAAAAGACAGATTTCTAAATTGAAAAAGAAATGGAAAAGGCCACTACAACAAATAACTGTATCTAATGGAAAATGGAAAAGGCCAACACAACAAATAACTGTGTTTAATGGAAAAGGCCACTACAACAAATAACTGTGTTTAATGGAAAAGGCCACTACAACAAATAACTGTGTTTAATGGAAAAGGCCACTACAACAAATAACTGTGTTAAATGGAAAAGGCCACCACAACAAATAACTGTGTTTGATGGAAAAGGCCACTACAACAAATAACTGTGTTAAATGAATCTGCACCAAGGCAATACAATGGAATATTGTTCTTTGGACTAATAGTCTGCACCATAAGCCATTTTTAAAATGAGAAAAACAAACACATATTTCTGAAACAAGAGACAGACATGTGATACATAGAGACACCATTCATAGAGACAAGATACAGACATGTGATACATAGAGACACCATTCAAAGAGACAAAATATGGAGACACCGTTCATAGAGATCAGAGACAAACAAACAAGATACAGACATGTGATACATAGAGACACCATTCATAGAGACAAAATACAGAGACACCGTTCATAGAGATCAGAGACAAACAAACAAGATACAGACATGTGATACATAGAGACACCATTCATAGAGACAAAATACAGAGACACCGTTCATAGAGATCAGAAACAAACAAACAAGATACAGACATGTGATACATAGAGACACCATTCATAGAGACAAAATACGGAGACACCGTTCATAGAGATCAGAGACAAACAAACAAGATTAGACACTGGATTACTAATGATACACTAACAAGGTATAAAGGCCGGGACAAGTGCAATACAAATATAATATACTGCATTGCTCAAATCACAACCTTCACACCATGCTTATCTGAGAAATTGTCAGACATGAAACAATGAGCTGGGTACAACAGTTGGTTAATTAATGCCCCTATGGTACAACAGTTGGTTGATCAATGCCCCTATGGTGTAAGTATTCAGTTCTCACACTAGAGAATTGTCCAACAGGAAACAGTGAGCTGAGTACAACAGTTGGTTTATCAATGCCCCTATGGTGTAAGTATTCAGTTCTCACTCTAGAGAAATTGTCAGAGGTGAAACAATGAGTTGAGTACAACATTTGGTTAATCAATGCTCCTATGGTGTAAGTATTCAGTTCTCACGCTATAGAAATTGTCAGACATGAAACAATGAGTTGAGTACAACATTTGGTAAATCAGTGCCCCTGTGGTGTAAGTATTCAGTTCTCACACTAGAGAAATTGCCAAACAGGAAACAATGAGCAAGCAAAGTTTGACAAGG